AAAGTAGAAAACAACCCGCATAATGCACGCATAAAACTTTTAAAAGTTGGACTGTCATTTCGTACTATAAACAAATATCATCTTAAGAGTTTTCGCTGTCAATAATTGCTTAAAAACCTTAAAATTTTTTTTTATCTTTCTATTATACTGTTAATAGCATTATTTTACTTAAAATACTTCTACTGATCTTTTGTTTATTGATAGGGAAGAAGGGGACTAGTGTGGGCATAGGACTAGCGTAGGCAAATGGAATATTTCTATTATTCATCACTCAAAAATTGGCAGAATGACAAAACTAAAGTACACTTTCATATATAAAGCTATAGTACACTTTCGTCATAGATGGTTTAGTAACAAATTAAAAAACAAGTTTTTATGGTGGAAAAGTGGCTTCTTAAATGTTATTTTTATTTCTATTTTAGTCTATTTATATTTTTTGAGAACAGGAGAGATTAAATTATGAATGAATATGCTTATTACATATTTAAAAGTCACAGGAGATCTGCCATTTTTAATCAACAATAATGAATTTAAACGAACTAATGACTACACGGAACCAGTGTGAAAACATAGGTGTGGTGAATTTTTTTCCCTATTTTCCTTTTTTTATTGAGAGGAGAAGAAGGCTAGTGGGGACAAGCGATTAGAGTAGACAAATGGAACATTTCTGTTATTTATCACACAAAAATTTTCTAAAACTTTTGACCGAATGACAGGCTATGGTACACTTTCATATGTAGAATTCTAAAGCTTAACTTCAGACCATTTTTATTTATCCTTTAAACACTAGGGGATATTAAATTATGAATGAATATGTTTTTTACATATTTAAAAGCTACATTGGATCTGCCTCTTTTAATTAACCAATAATGAGATTAAACTAACCAATGACTCTAAGAGGCCACTTTGAGCTCATAGGTTTGGGACAACTCGGAATAAAAACAATTCTTTTTATAAGGAATTAACAAAACATACAAATAAATTAGATTATCTATAATTCAAAATGAAATTAAACTGTCATACTGTAATGAAAAAAATACTTGTTTAAAAAAATGATTAGCAAGTTTTGACAAAACTTTTCACGTTAGATCTCATTTTTCTTATATTGGTATCTTAATAAAATTAAAAACAGAAATGGGATGTCATCTAAGTTTGATGTTCTCTCAGAAATTCACTTTGGTTTTAAACTAAGAAAATTTCAAAAAATGTAATTGATTTTCTAATTTTTAAATCTTTTAAGAACACGCTCAAAAATTTTTAGTTAAGAACTTAATTTCCTAAGTGTATACTACGATTTTGCTGATCAAATTTTTTATTAAACTAAATCAAAGTTTTGTATACATTTTGCGTATTTTATTACAGTCCAGTGAAAGAAAACGCTTCCGTCCCAAAATATTACTTCATCGCAATAAGTTCTTTGTCAAGGAAGATCGAAACTATTCTCATAAAATAGTAAAACTTTTGTGGAGCAAAACATAAAATTTCTCTATAAATCATCTTTTTACGCTTCTTTTATTGTGAAAGTTTCCCAATCGGTATTACTTACATACGATTTTGTAGGATTACTCAACACACTCATTTTTTTTATTCTGAATGTATAAAAAAAAATCCCATATTTATACATAGAAATTACCCGATTGACCTAATTTTATTCATACTTCTTTTTTGAAGCTTTATAACGTCTATTACAAGATTGGTTTAGTACTTTTCTTAATTCCTATAGACAAGCAAAGTTGTTAGTTGTGGAATTCATTGTATTCTGACAACATGGAATGTTGCAAAACAAAAATGGAAAATAATTTATGCATGGAGTAGGATAAGTTAACTATTTATTTTCTTTTTCAAAAGAAAATTGCAAATAAAAAAGTTTTACGATCTGAACTTTTTCTAAGGAAGTCCTCTTTATAAATCTTTGTTTGACTTCTGGATTTCGATTTCTGGTGCTTAACTAGCTATAGTTATTTTTAAAGTCTTACTATCTCAGTTATTGCTATGAACAGTTCTTGATATAGCAAGTAAATAAAGAAAAAATAACGAGGAAAAAGTAACGAACCCAGGAACCTGGATCATCGAATCAGTGAATTTGAGTTTGAATCAGTGAATCAGGGAAACAGTGAATAGATGTATCAGTAGGTTGGTAAATCAGTAAATTTTTGATAAATAATACTAGAAATAATTATACAACAATCAGTAATTTCGGTAAATAATACAGTAAAGCTTTTGAACCTGTAATTTGTGGTACAATAATCAACAATTATGTTTTTTAAATGATTTTTTCCGTATAACAGAGGTTTTTTTCTCACGTGTAGCATTTCATGTTCACGCAACTGCGCAAAGTACAGAACAATATCAGTTCCTTGCCGTGCTTGCTCAGAATATACCTCACAAAGAAAAAAATTCTGGTGAAATTACTGTATAAAAATTCCTGTAAAGGAAATTAAAATATACGACATTTAAATCATTCATTTGGTAATTCCATTTACATGGTAATTGTTTACCGGAAATGCTGTTTTTTTAAAATTATCATTCCTATGTCTACACATTTATTAAAAAAAACTAAACTGAAAAGTAAATTTTACCGAATAAATGACTTTAAAGTCATTCTCTAAGGTATCATGTTAAAATTACCAAACTGTACCACATTTACCAATTTTATTACTTATCAAAAACCTTATTTTATAGCTAATTTTATCAAAATCATTACCAAAGAGCTTCGGTAAAATTTATAGAGTGCTTTGGTGTTCCCAAAGAGCCAGAAACACTCTTTTACCATATTCTAGTAGTTTTCACCATATAGTTTTTCTAAATGATGACATACTTGGAATTTTAGGGGCTAAGCCATTGGAATGCTTTAGAAATTATTAAGGTCATGATTACGCAAAACGTCAGTTTGAGAAAATGCCATTGAAAACTTTCGTAAGGGCACTCCACCTGTTTGCAAAGAGCTGTATTTCTCCTTTACATGAATTTCAATTAATACTTTTAGGAAATTATTACAAAATGCGTTGTATTTCTCCTTTGTATGAATTTCAATTTACACTTTTTTAAAATTATTGCAAAAAGAGTTTCCTTTCTCCTTTGTATAAACTATAATTTATACTTTTAAGAAATTATTGCAAAAAGCGTTGTCTTTCTCTTTTATGTGAATTCCAACTTATACTTTTAAGAAATAAGTGCAAAATCGTAGTATTTCTTAATTATACGAATGTCAATTTATATTTTTAGGAAACTGTTCTCAAATAAATACTCTGTAGTAACATAAAAAATATTTAAAAAAATTTAAATTGTTTGAAACTCTCTTACTTTTATAAAAGGCGATAGATTTCAATATTCAAAAAGTAACGTATAATATAAAATAATGCGAAGAGCTTAGAGTTCCATAACGTGATGTTTAGGGCGGAATGTAAAATAACTTGATAAAAATGCTTATTCTTTGCAAATGAAGTTCAATATAGCCACGATTTGATGTTCTAGCCATTTCATTTGAGTATATTATAGCCAAAAAAGCCAAATTTACCCAGAACTAAAATAGGTTTTTACGATGAAATTGAAAATGACACTTTTCTGGGCATACACTCTGAGTTTTTCAATACATTAAGGGTTAACCTCTCCCATTATTTTAAGTGCACTCTTTACTTTATTTAGATTACATAAATAGTGGAGGTGAGAAAGTTCGAAGAAGTGAAAATATGAGATCCCAACTCAAAAGACTAGTGAACTTAATTAAGCATATTACGCCATTCTGTAGAATATTCTGGTGTTCATAAACAATACAAATTCATTTACGCCATCTTTTCAGTTTTAAGATTAATAACAGGTCAATAATATGTTAATTTTGTCCTTAAAAAATTGTAAAATCATACAGAAAGTTTACAAATATGAACTAAAGAATGTGAATGACTTTTTTGATGTTATAGATAATTTAAATTTCTAAATTTTAACATTGAAATTTTTATATATCTCTTTTTTTTTGTTATTTTAGAGACTTCAATAAGAAAAAAATACTTTTTTTTTTTAACAAAAAGTGTTTTTGTAAGTCTTATTTGATTTAAAATTAATGCTTAAAGATGTAAAAAAATATTGTAACGTAACTAGTTCGGCAATTGGAGGATTTTTAATTGTTTCTTAATTTACAATTTGTACTTTTTGCTTTTGTCATTCAATAAATTGTTCATTAACCCATAGTAATCTCAGATCAGAAACTAATTAACCAATTATTATTTATGTTTTTGAGATGTTATAGCAAATTAAAATCTTTAAATTTAAACATAGAAATTTTGATTTCTTTATTTCGTTCTTTTATAGGCTTTAAAAATAAAAATTCACTTTTTATTAGCAAAAAATGTCCTTATATGTTTTATTTAATTTAAAATTAATGCTTAGTTAACAAAAATTGAAATAAATAGTTCGATCGTTGGAAGATTTTTTTAACTGTTTCCTAATTTTCAATTTGTAACTTTTTTTAATTCAATTAAAGGTGAATTAAAAGTTTCAAGCTGTGTTATAGTTGTTGTAACCTATATTTTAAAATCAGGTAACAAAAAGAATTACATCTTTGTATTTAATCAATATAATCATGTAATTTGTCTTGCCAAAATTATTTAAATTATTAGCTATTGTTATGATAAAAGAAAACTGAATCAGACCTCATCCATCAAAGAGCAATACAAATTAATTTTTTAAAGTGCACTTTAAGCATAGTGTCAACATCTGATAAACAATTTACTCAGCAATGTGAAATATTTCTTTTACCATATGACAGTCAACAAAGGAATAAAAAAAACTCAAAGCTTCACACTGTACTTAATTTTCTTAACGCTGTCAACACCAGTAAGTCAAGTATGACTAAAACTGACTTCTGACTGCTAAAACTAAGTTCTAGACAATTAATTAGACACCAAGGCAACCCGATAAAGTCCTTCTTCATTTTTTTTTACCTCACGATTTTTTTGTTTTTGTTTTTCCATTCTGTTTTATGTTTTTTTTTCTTTTCTTTTCAGGAGCATCAGCAATGGCGATATGCCAGTAATGCCCGACGACCAAGCTCTAAACAGTCTTGTGTTCCAAATGATTCAACAACTAGGACTTCTAGACAAGTAAGTCACTTTATTAACCATTTCAACATTTTGATGTCTTAAATAAATAACAACATATTCTATATTGGAGTTTGAAATTAGATTGGTTGAATGTTTAATATAAATTAATTATAGGACTGAAATGATTGGTTGATTCAATTAATTTTTTCAATATTTAATTAATTGAGGGTTTAAACTGTATGAGTTTAATCTGACCACTACATTCCCGCAATCCAGGAATAATTGAGTTTTTTCGATGTTTTTAACATAAATTGCTAAGTTAGTTTATTTAAAGTGTTGGTAAAAATTATTTTCTGTTTGTATTGATCGTGTCTTCTTATTAAAAAATCAAGTGTTACAAATTAAAATAGAGAACGGTTAGCTGTCGTCTGAATTTTAAATTAGTACAATGAATGTCATACGATTAATTTGTAGTTAAAATAACAAACTAGTGCAAATTAAGTAGCATAGTTAATCATCGTTTGAATTTGTAATGATAATAAGGAATGCCATATGATTCATTTGATGTCAAAATAACAAACTAGAATAAATTAAGTAGTACGATTAATTGTCATAATTTGATATGATGATAAGGAATGCCATATGATTCATTTGATGTCAAAATAACAAACTAGAATGAATTAAGTAGTACGATTAATTGTCATAATTTGAAATGATGATAAGGAATGCCATATGATTCATTTGATGTCAAAATAACAAACTAGCATGAATTAAGAGGTACAATTAATTGTCATCCGACAATAAATGACAATGAATGTCATACGATTCATTTGTTGTCGAAATAATGAGCAAGTATGAATTAAGTAGCATGATTAATTGTCGTCCGAATTTTAAATAAGGACAATGAATGTTATAGGATTCATTGTTATCAAATTAACAAACTATTAATAATTAAGTAGCATGATTAATTGTTGTCTGAATTTGAAAGAATGACAATGAATATTATAGGATTCATTGTTATCAAAATACTATTAAGAATTAAGTATACAAACTAGTAAGAATTAAGTAGCATGATTAATTGTTGCCCGAATTTGAAAGAATGACAATGAATGTTATAGGATTCATTGTTATCAAAATAACAATCTAGTAAGAATTAAGTAGCATGGTTAATTGTTGTCCGAATTAGAAATGATGACAATGAATGCTATAGGATTCATTGTTATCAAAGTAACAAACTAGTAAGAATTAAGTAGCATGCTTATTGTTGTCCGAATTTGAAAGGATGACAATGAATATCATACGACTTGTTGAAATAACAAATTATCATGAATTAAGTTGTACTGTTGACTGTCTTCCGAATTTGAAATGATGAATGTCATACGATTTTTTTTGTCTAAATAACAACAAATTAAGTAGTAGCGTCAGTTGTCAAAATTTGAAATGATAACAATAAAACTCGAAATAACTAACTTAGAAATGAATTAAGTAGAACAGTTATTTATAGTCAGAATTTGAAATGACACTAATAAATGTTTGTTGTCGAAATAATAATTTAATACGAAGGAAGTGGTAGGGTAAATTATCGGTCAAATTCTAAATTATGATAATGAATGTCATACCATTCGTTTACTGTCTAAATAACAATCTCTAGCATGAATTTAATCTTACATTGGTTAATTTTAGTATGAATTTGAAATGAGGGTAATGAATGCCATACAGCACGTTTCTGTTATCAAAATAACAAATTAGTACAAATTAAAATAAGGCAACGTTAATTGTTCCAAGAATTGCTAAAGTTTTTGTACACCACAATAAAAAATCTAATTATCCATGGAATGATCTAAAGCAATGTTACTTAAATTTAAGATTACAATGGTTCTTAAAAACGATTTTTTTTTAATTTTAAAATTCGCCTCGATAATTGGTATTAAATACTATGAATCTACTAATCTCTTATGCATCAATTAAAAAATTCAACACGAGATTCGTGTAATAAAGATAATAAGTTTGCAAAGGTAACATTTATTTAAATACTTTGATTTAAATAGATTGATTTAATATCCATTGATTCTAAATAAACTGGCATCATCAAAATTTACACGAAGTTAAATCCTTAATGTTCACCAGTTGATTATCAATAACTGATTATCATATGTTGATTTTTAAAATCTTGGCTTGTTCAAATTGGTAATGCAAGTCATCTCTTTATTATAATGTGGTAAGTCTTATTAGTTGATTAAAACAGAATCCAGTTTATCAGTTGTCCAGATATACTAACTTGTATATTTATATCAATTACTTTCAAACAGTTTATTTGAATAAAATCTGGTCCATGATTTAATTCAGATAATGGGATTATTTCTTTAAACAAGGTAATTTGATTCCGTGTTGATTTTAACTAATTTGTTCAAATATATTAGAACTTAGAGTTCCATTAATCCAAATCTGGGTACGAATTCTAATAAGATAATAAAATTTGTTGCTCTTTGTAAGGTTCATTATTTTAATCGGTTAATTTAAACTAGTTGCTTTAAATTAAATAAAGTTATCTAATTTTGATCAGATCTGTTGGTTCAAATCTGGGACTTGAATAAGTTTTTTCAGATCCGTTAACTTAAGGTATCTGACTAGTGCAAAAGATTGGTTTCGGGCAAAATTTTTGAAATTGAGTTTATTTATAAATTTATAATCCCTGCACTCTTGTCGTTTTAAAAATTTTTTACTTTTGCTTGTACTCCAATTATTTACAAAGTTATAGCTGTTTTTATGAAAGGTGATAACAGTGGATAGACTAATGGTTTTAAATCTTTAAATGCGTTTATCTCAAAATCAGATTTTTCCCTTCATTTTACACCACCTTGTTGTCTTTAAAATAATTGTCTACAATTTTCATGAGTGTTTATGATTATACCAAGCATGTCTTGAACTATAGACTAAGAGAAAAAAAGTAGAATTTTATTTTTTTAATGCGTGTTTTTTCGTAAAGACACATGCGGAAATTTTTAAAAAGTTTCTATTTTAACTACACTGATCCATAACTCAATAGTATATGCAGTTGTGTTTAAGATAATAAGAGTTCAAAATATAGTTGATAACCTTCTAAATAAAATCCTCAAAGGATTTTTGTGTTTTAAGCGATAGAAATTTTCTTACAGTTTTTAACGTATATGCAAAAAAAAATGCTTTGTTTTAACCTAAAAATAGTCATATAAAAAGGAAATAAAAATAACGATATTTTTTTTGGTAGTTTTATACATTTTTACACACAATAAAACAAATAAACTAGTTTTATAAAATTTCTTATTAATATTTTTAAAAAAAATTGTTGAAACTTAACGGATACTGTAAATAAAATATATGTAATCATTTTATCAATTAATTTTTTATTACTAATCCACTAAACCATTTATTTAAATAAAATCAAATGATCCATTTTAGTGCTAACTTGAATCCTCCACTATGATTTGAGTCAAATCACTGAGTTTGTGCCAGAAATAAGTGATTTGCATAAATTAATTACAATCCATTGGTTGAAAATCAAATTTATTTCATAATGAAACAGATTCAGATCAATAATTCTTCTCTGCTGGTTCAAATGAGTTGATATGATTCTTGGTATCAATTATTAAATAAAAAATACACTGAGAAATAATTTTTTCTTGTTTTCTGTTGCATAATATTTTTTAACATATCTTAGTTACTTTCGTATTGCTTATTTCAAACCAGCACTCAGTTTCTCTCTCTAAGCTACAGTTTTTTTTATTATATTTTTATTATATTTTTAGTCTATTTTTTTATCGAAATGTGCAACTTTAAAAGCGTTTTACATCACAGGGGGCCCGCATAAATAGTGTAACAAACTTTTAGGGAAGTTAGGGCACAGCATCAGGATTAAAATTTCATGGAAACCCATTCCCGGAAATGTCGTCATACGCCACTAAAGGCGCTTACCTATGATGAATTGTTTCCTCGTGTGCTTCTGAACAAGTCATATAAGGGAAACGCTTTTGTTATATATAACATTTTTAAACTTGCATATTTGGAAAGAAAATAGACTAAGAATGTTATTTTAAAAACAATCTCTAGTTTTAGGATAAAAACTTTAAATCCCCACTAAAATTAATTAAAAAAAACTTTAAATCCTCATTAAAATTGATTTTAAATCCCCACTCCCAAATTTGAAAAGATCAAGTATTTGTATAAATACTCGCCCCCCCCCACCCCCTAGTGCTAGTTGATTCGAACAAATTAAATGTTTCAAATCGTCCAACATTCTTTATTGGTTTTTAAACGCTATATATGTATGTTCTCATCGATTTAAATCAATAATTTTAATCTTTAGTTTCTTGTTAGTTGTTTTGAGTAATCATTTGATTCAACTCAAGTCAATGATTCAATATGCCTAGAACTATTCTATGCGTAATCAGAAAATAAAGCACGTTCCCAAGTCTTGAGTACTCAAGTTTTGATAATATTTAAGTCCCTAAGAATAATTAGGTTTGTGCTCGTGTGAAATTTAATCACATTTTGTAGCAAAGTAGTTAGATTTCCTATTGAAATGAGGAACATGATTCTTCCTAAGAATTTATTTAGCACGAATAATATAGTCTAGTTTTGAATTATTTTCGAAAGAATTCTATACTAACATAAAACTTGGGATGGATTTTCTTTTAAAAAAATGTCTAATGATATTACTAAAAAGATATTTCTAAACTAGTTGTAATTGAATTTTTAGAATAACTTTCATAGTTGAATTCCTCTGCTTAGATGTTTCTAAATATTTTGTTTTTGAGAAAACTAAAAATTATAACAAATTTTCCATCAATCTATGTATCTTTAGAGCTAATAATATAAAGCTTAAATGATATTACCTAATAGTAATATTACTCAATAAATAAATCTGAAGCAGAATTATTTATAACTCAATAAATTTCAAGTTTACTCAAAAATGCAATTCAATAAGTTTCAGCATTACGAAATAATAAAACTACCCAGTAAGTTTCATCTGCAATTTATTGTTTACGTTTTTTAAGATGTTATAGCTAATTAAAATTTATAAA